GAAGCTGTTACAGATCCTGCTGGACCTGCATCAGATGCTGCGAAGCCTCTTCCCAGAGGGCAGCAGGGAGAACCTTCCATGGTGGGGGTGTGAGGGGTCATTGATGATGTCACGGGCTCGGGACATGCAAGACTGAAATGAAATGTCTTTAATGGAGGGAAGAGGAACCCCGATGATCATCTCTGCTGTTCTCACCACTCTCCTCACTTTCTTCCAGTCTGAGGCGCTGCAGCCTCCACACCACACAGTGAGACAGCTGGTCAGAACGCTCTCTATGGTGCCTCTGTAGAAGGTGGTGAGGATGGGTGGGAGTCAGGTGGGCTCTCCTCATCCTCTGCAGGAAATACAAGCGCTTCTGTGGCCATTTGACCAGTGAGGTGGTGTTTACTGTCCAGGTGAGGTTGTCTGTGATGTGCTGCTGAGCTGGTGGTGAGCAGTGGGGCGTGGTTTAGGCCGGTCCTTCCTGAAGTTGACGATCTTCTTCATTTTCTCCACATTCAGGATCAGGCTGTTATCTCTGCACCAGCTGCTCCACTTCCTCTCTGTAGTCCTGATCGTTGTTGGCTCTGATGAGGCGCACCACCGTGGTGTCATCTGCAACTAAACTGGAAACGGTTTAATGTTGGGGGGAACTAGAGATGATGTGTTCTTTAACCAGCCTGTTGAAGCACTTAATCATGATAGGAGTCAGTGCAACAGGCAGGTAGTCCTGTTCTCTTTTAAACAGGACTGTTGCTTTTAATAGACTGTTGCTGTGTTGAGGGGATTAGAGAAATGGCTGATATTGAAGCAAAGGTGTAGCAGCTCCAAACATACATATCTTTCAGCATATATCCAACCCATGGGCGTAGGTTTGTATAGGGACCATAGGGACATGTCCCTACCAAAATTTTGGATCGACCTACTTGTCCCTACCAATAATTTGATGTGAACAACATGTTTATAATTTAAAATACAGCGTTATTGCATAAGGAGCTATTTAAAGAGTCAGACAGTAAGCAATATAGGATGATGATAAAAGGTTGTGTTACATTTAATCCTTTACCATTAAAAACACACTTGTATAATAGAAACATTATATGAATATAGGAAACACAGATATAATGATGCAGGGCACCCTCATGGTGAAGCAGCTGCCCTTCAGTGCTGTATTATGGGAGAAATGTGTTTGGAATGTTACCATAAAATTAGGGCTGCAATTAATGATTATTTTGCAAATTGATTAATCTGTCGATTATTTTTTCGATGAATCGATTAATAATCAAACAGCCAAAGAAGAAAAAGATTTTTTACTACATGAAACAAGGTGAAACAGAAACTTTTCCTCTTGAGGAGTTCTGGATGCAGAATATTTAAAGACAAAAACTTTTTTTTAATCTCAAATGCAAAATGTTTACATATTTTTTACAATCTTGGTATAATTCCTGCTCTAAATGGGTCGCTCTGTCGGGTAAAGGCACATTTTAGTGGCCCTATACAACAGTTAATGATTAATCAATTACTAAATTAGTTGACGATTATTTAAATAATCGATTAATATGATAAATTTTTAAGCCCAAGATAAAATACATGAAATGGGCTACACAGAGTAACTACAGCCCATATGTACAATTTGTATAGTGAAGTTAATATTTCAAATGCTCAGTGTCAGTTCCTCTTATAGTTCCAGTGCTCATGTAAATACAATACATTTATTTACCTTCCCTTGAATGTATTATTTTTCATGATACAGACAGAGCATATTATATAAAAAAAAAATAAAAATAAGAGTGGGGTTTACCTGTTTTCCTCTGCACAATTTTATATCTTCAAAAGAAAACAGGATAAATCCACATATAATGGACATATTTAGACTATATTTGGTTAAATAGGCACTGTCTTACAGTAGTTGCTGGTAAGTTTAAATGCAAACATTTTCAAAGTGGAAAAACATTGATAAACAGGATCTAGTGTGTGTAGTGCTTATAAGATTGGTATTAATGTAGCAAGGAATGCTGCTGTTTTCTTTAAACAGAATGTGCTCTGATGCTCACATTAAGCATAAAAAAACAGCATACACATTTTTGCATAGGACCAATGACATCAGACCAATGAAACTGAAAACAAATAGTGTCCCTACCAAAGTTGAAATCAAACCTACGCCCTTGATCCAACCCACTGGATTTTCATTATAATTACCTGCAAGAAAGCTGCTGCTTTTGTGGGGATGGCATCTGCTACCATGCTGTTACACAGATCTTTATTTGGCTTTGATGTTTCTTTAGTGGCAGGATCCATAATTCATGATGAAAATATGAGCAAAGCCAATATTTGTTCCAACATCAGAAGTCTGTTTTTTGGGTATTGAAAGAACGATAGGTACATCTTCATAACCTTCCTTTTCCAAATAACAATAAACTACATCAAGGATGGATTCTAGAACATCGCAGGTAAATGAATTGGGCCAAACATCACAAAATAAACTTTGGGATCGGTTGACTCCTTTTTTTAAAGTTTGATAAAGAATTCCCTACACTATTAAGATAAAATGCTTGGAGCACGATGTAGTATCAACGTTCAGGTTAGAGTGAGTTATAGTTAGGCCTCCTGTCAATTATAAACATTTATTATGAGCATTTTATTTCTTATAATCTGTGATGTTGACTGCTTCTGCAGCAACATTGAAGTAAAGTGGCCTGACTCAGACCATGACCACTTCTTGATTGGTATAATTATGACATTAAGAGAAGTGGTTATGAAATGTATGAAAGATATTTAGCCATTTGGTTGATAACCATACAGAATACACCTTTCTAAGTTCTCCATGAATGTTGCTCACTTGGTGTGAAGTACATTAGTGGCCATTCAAAATGTCCCCACTTTCCTTGATGGGTCCTTCGTTGGACCTTGGCTGGTCCCCTACAATTGATTGTTAAACATCCACCTTTGTACAAAAACATTCATTCTGTCATGATTTGTGGAAATTAAGCTCTACTGAGACGCGCCATTTCCTGGTCAGACCCTGTAATTCAGTGAAAGGGTGGAGTCAGAGTAAAAAAAATATGTTGGGTTCATGAAGGGGGTATTGCTGGGAGTTGCAGGAGAGTGGGCTGCCATTCGGCTTGCGTTTGAATGGGAAGGTCCATTTTGAATGGCTGCAACTGTATGGCGTAAATATGCTGCCTTGATACAGTTGAACCTCCTGAGCCTGGTTTGGCCTTTTAGAAGAAGACGAAGCCAGGATGCATTAGTAAACACAATAGGTAAAGGCCTTATGGCCTTATGTCCTACCCTGGGTTTATAAATTCAGCTTCTGTGAAACAGGAAAAAGCCTTATGAACTTTTTTTTTATGTTTATTTTAGCACTTGTGATTTTTTCATGGAAGCTTGTTACATTTTGAAACAAATATCTGATTATTTTTCCGATTTTCAGGTTATTATTACAAGTTTAATATTGTTTAAACATAGTTTAGCTCAGCTTTCTCTTCCTACTTTTTTAGTGTAACGTTTTTTAAGTCTTCGTTTTAGGTTAAGCTTAGCTTACAGTGTTTTATGCTTATCCTATGTTAGAGATGCATCTTAGTTTGGTTCATTTAAAATTATATCAGAGTTATTCTGGGTTTAACTGAGTTAATCTTAGCATATGTGTTTAGATTTGCATTTGGATGATTTTTTTCAGGGTAATTCTGATCAGGCCTCACTGTCCTGCATGTTTTAGAAGTTTGCCTGCCTACACACACCTGACCTGAATGAAAAAATGATCAACAGGTTTTTTCGGCATTTGATGGCTGAGGGGGAGGCATAATCATTTAAATCAGGTGTGCTTGTGTTGAGAAATATCGAAAACATGAAGGACAGCGATCCCTGAGTTCCAGGGTTAGGAATAATTTATTTTTTCATAGCTTTATAAAGCTTTCTTTTAAAGTGGGTTTGCCTGAGTTTAGATTAGCTTTGTTTACTTTGAAATAGGTTCGTGTGTCCTGGGTTTTCTTCTCTTAAGTTAACTTATCCTTTTCATTTACCACAGCTTAGCTTATACAGTAGCCATCTTCGCTTATCTTTCTACATTTAGTTTTCTTTAGGTTAACTTATCTGAGCTTATAGTTTACCTTTGCATAGATAGCTGTCCTTTGGTCTTAATTCACCTATAGGAATCAATACATTTGGTGTTTCTTGTCTTAGCATTGTAGTAACTGAGCTTAGTTTATTGTAAGTTAGTTATAGGTTTGTTAAAAAAAAAAAATACTACCTCTAATCAATTAATCTTATGTAGGCAACATGTATGAACAGCCATTTTTTCAAAACTAAATAAATAAATATATAATTTAATAAATACGTGAATATTTAGATAAAGGAATATTGATAAATTATTATGCTGATGAAGGTTCTCAGTCATCCTGGTCATAGTCATTCCGTAAAAATTCAAAAAATATCCACTGGACTTGGTTTCCAAGATTTGAAGATTTCGAATCTTGGAAACCAAGTCCAGTGGATATTTTTAGAATTTTTACGGAATAAATTATTACATTCAATTATTAAATTAATAACATATTGAATCAAATTAATATCCTCATGTAATACAACAAAAATGTCCATCTCATGTTATTTAATTTATTTCAATATTTATTTAACTATAAGATTTATATATATATTTTCTATATATTTTAGTTTTTTATATATTTTAGTTTTTTTTATTTCATTATATTTTAATTTTTTTATTTATTTATTTTCTAATTTATATATACTTTTTATTTTATACTTAACTTTTAGTTATTTATTCATCTCTAAATCTTTGTTTATTTTCTTTGGGAAAGTCGGAAGACCAGATCTTTATCAGATGATTTTGATTTTATAAACCTGTCTGCGCATGTGCAGTGCTCTCTGGTTTGGGGCGGACAGGTGCCACGCTGAGCTGTGACCCCCAATTCACCATCCTCACCATCACCTCTGTCATCCTAATAACTCTTCCGGTGGTGACGTCACTCCCGTCTCGGGCTGCAGCAGTACGGCGCGTGCAGGGAGAGAGAGAGAGAGAGAGAGCGGCGCGCGAGACCCGGCCCAGGTGGACGCACGAGCCCGAACGTCCGCAGGAGGGAGGACCGAAACACGGAAAAAGGAAAGACGAAGAAGAAAAAGGAGGAGGATAAACACCGCGCCTTCCTTCCTCCTCTGCCTCCTCCGCAGCGGACACATTCCCAGAGACCGACGCCTGTTGGTGCGAACAGCTGATCCAGGAAGAAAGGAAGAAGAACAGGCCAGAGGACCGCAGCAGGAGATGGAGAAAGAGAAAGAGAAGGCGGCAGGTAGGAGGCTGGTGGATGGATGGATGCAGGGATGGATGGATGGATGGATGGATGGATGCTGGTTAGGAGTGTGCTGCAGTATCCTGCTGCTTCCATCCTGGTTGCAGCTGCTGATGCTGTTAGGTGTGGTTATTATGGGATGGGGTGCAGTGTGTGTTTTCCACCCCAGAAACTGATGCAGCAGAACCTGCAGAGACAGACAGGAACAGGGCGGACCGGATGCAGACAGGTGGGACGGCTGCCTGGAGGACTGAGTGAGGACTGGACTGATGGACAGCATGATGAGACAGCAGAGGCTGAGAGACCCAAGGCCTCCTGGGGATTATCATTGGGTTGAATGTTTCTGTGGAAACCCCAGACGTTCTGCTGTAACGTTTTAACTTTATGAAATAAACCTGTGAGCAAATGGAGATATGGACCAATGGATCTGAATGATGAAGAAATACATTACATAAATTATTTCTTAATGCTGACAAAACAAAGTTCAATCATAAGAAAGTGCCTCAGTAGTTTCCACTCTGGAGAGGAATGTCATTAAGGTGGTATTGGAATTGGAATTGATGATTCCTTCACCTTCAAACCTTTTCCTGATAAACTTGTGAAGAAATAAAATGTTAAACTGGGCTTCTTCTTTGGTGATAAGACATGTTTTTCTTTCAGAGTTAAAAAGCGCATCGTCTCTGCCACGTTTTTATCGCTCTTAGACTACGGTGACTTTTTTTAAAATAAGAATGCTACTTCTTCATGTCCTTAAATGTTGGACTCTGTTTACCATCCCGGTCATTAAAAATCATTGAAAGTCATTAAATAATTTTTCTTTTAATTAAGGCCTGAATTGGCATTAAAATTCATTAAATGTGAATATTTTAGCATCGAAAACACTTTAGTTAGGAAAAACAATGTTTATAAAAACATTTTATTGAACGATATATATATTTGCAAATATGCAAATATATCGCGTTATATTCTATCGTAATATATTTGCAATAGAATGCAATATATTTGTGCGGAACTTCCGGTTGTTCATAAAGCCGTATGTTTGGAAAAGAAGCTCGAGGCAGAGAAAAAGATAGAGAATGGGAAAATGAAAATTTCAACAAAAGTGGCTGAAAAAACTGGAATTCTGGACACAGCGGCAGCCTGTCAATCATAAAGATGACAAAGGATATTGAATTTATATATATTAATGCCATTATATGTATATATATATATATATATATATATATATATATATATATATATATATATATATATATATATATATATATATATATATATATTTAATGCTCTTAGAAATCATTTTAATACTATCAACAAGTAACAATGACTGTCATATATATATATATATATATATATATTATTCCTGTATAAACCCTGTTTTAAGTTGAAAGTGACAGAATTTGAAGCAGCCTCAATTATCTCTAATTGTTTTACTTGATACTTGTTTTACTTGATATACCTGTCATTTAATTTAATTTATCTCTGTTTATTATGTAACTTTGCTGCCTCTTGGCCCAGACTCCCTTAAAGGTTCTTTTTAATCTCAATGGGATTTTTTTCCTGGTTAAATAAAGGTTTAAAAAAATAAAACGAATAACCGTCAAATTCCTTCAAAATGGGAACAACAATCATATTACATAAACACAGGTTACTAAAAAACAATGAGTTGTAAAAAGCTTACCTCCAACTTCCCTAAAGTCGTATTTAAATTCTGTAGCTGTGATTTAACTGTTAGCATTGCGGTTTTCTCTGAATCTTCTCCGGATGGATGGAAGGAAGGAAAAGATGTCTACCTGGTGATTTCCTGCAGAGTTAAGGTAGTTGGAACAGATTCAAAGCCTTTTTTATGGTTTCATTCAGAAATAGAAACAGAAACTGTATTCTTTGTTTTTGTAGTTTTTTTTCCCTGGAAACTTTATTTAGCTTTTAAATATGCTTCAGACTGAATATTTTTTTAAATTTTCCTACGTAATCCCAACATTTCTTTAGTGATGCTTCCCAGAAATTTGCCCTCCTGGTTTACAGTGAGGGGCGGTAAAAGAGGGAAAAGATGGAGGGAGGCGGTAGCAGATGACGGACGGAGCGATCAGACCGACCACCAGGCTGACAGATGGTCAGAGATGGTCCTCCTGAGATGGGAGACGGCAGAGCCATATCATGGCTACAGTCAGAGAGTGCTGTGATGTTTTTGGCATTTTGGAGCTCCACAGAAATTCTACCTCTAGGTTTTTTTTCTATGTTTTTTTTTTATTTATTTTTTTTACTGCCATTATTCTAACAACTGGAGGAATCTGTGGCCAACCTTCAGGGACCCACCTCCTTCAGGACCATGGACAGTTCTTTTTTTTTTTATTACTCAGAGGCAGAATCAGACCTCAGCTCCTTTACCTAAGGTCTTTGTTGTTTTATTAGTTTTAAATGAGATTATACAGCTGTTTCATAGCAAAACAGATGCTGCTGGGGCCAACCAGTCAGTCTATATATATATATATATATATATATATATATATATATATATATATATATATATATATATATATATATATAATAGATATAAATATTCTCAAACATCTCATAAAATATTCTAATAAATAAAAAAGTTGCCTATTGAGTTAGCTGATTCTCAAATTTTTGATAAAACAGAGTTAAACCTGAGTGATATCAATCAAATCTGTAAGGACCAAAAATAAGCCGACCTAAAGAAAGTAGGTCTATTTTTGTTTTTGTGGGTCAGTTTAATCTCAGCTTCAGTTATGTCTGGGCTGTAATTAGTAAATAAATCACTGAAATGTTCTCCTTCGAGAGGAAAGGAGACATCAAAGTTCTAAAAAAAAATTAAATATTCTGCTGATCTTCGGCTTAAAACAAGCTGCTAACGTTACTAAACCGGAGCAGCACAGCAGATCTCCTTTTGTCGCTGATGAAACTGTTTTAGCAGCAGGAGAACTCGGCTATTTTCTGCTTTTACCCATAAATAGATGGTTATTTATCTTCTGGGATGGATCTTCAGCCACAAGGAGGATATTTTTACCCTGTTAGATAATTTTAGATGTTTGATGGAAGAAACGACCTCAGATGAGGTTCAGGCTGAATTTATTGTCGGTGTAACTGATTGAACCCGACTCTATCAGCTTCGTCTGTCCAGACTGCAGGATGGGGGGAGAATCTGTGGTGGAGTCAGTGAGAGCAGATTTAAAGCTGCCATGAGTCAGCTGGATGCTGGTTGGACGTTTTATTTACAGCTTTTTAGCCTCCATGACTCAAAGTTTTAGGGATTGTTTCGGCCCGCTGACAGGAGCCTTTGCAGAAAAAGGTTAAAAGGACCTTTTATTGGAAGGGGGCGTGGCCTACAGAGGAGTGGGGCCCTCCTTAGGGATGGTCGGTGTGTTTGTTTACAGCGGATCAGTGTGTGGCATCGATTTGCTGATCAGTTTCACGGGATTCCAGAGGATTCAACAGAAACCTGAGAGCCACAAACAAAGCTGAGGCTTTCTGTCCACGTCTGTGTTTCCGCTGATGAGCTGACAGCCGCCCAAACACAGCTGAGGGATCAGTAAACACAGCCGCTCATCCTGGGGAAGAGGAAGGAAAACAATTCCTGGCTTCTTAAACATATTTAACAACAAAAACGTGTAAATTTCATCGTTAATCAAACCAAAGATGAACTTTGATCATGATCGTAACCTGACACAGACAAAAAAAAACAATCTATGAAATCTATGAAATTACCTAAAAAGCAACTTTTTTTAGGTTTGAAAACCAGAAAACCCATCAAATAACAAAAAGGAGATAATTTAACCTCTTATATCCACGTCATTTTGGGAAATTCTTGCCTATTTTTCATACCCAAATGGAAAAGCAAATAACTTGGGAACTGTAAGATCAAATTACATGTGATACATTATTCAAAAGCTAACACCTTGTAGTTTCTGAATATATACATGAAATTTGGGTGAGTAAAACACCCAAGCTGCATCAGTTCAAACATGACTCAAAGTAGATTTTTTTCTTGAAAATAATATATTTTTTAACAGCAGTAATAAAGACATGTTTGCTTGTTGTGGCTGCTTTGTCATGGTACATTTTGACATCCTGCTATGTCCATAAAATGAACTATGTGGTTGAATTGTGGAGAATCTAAGCTTTTCAACGATGTCTAACATGTTTATATTGGTAAACATTTTACTGGTGTAATTTTATTGCATTTTGAGTTATTTGTAAACGCTTTAAAACTGGTGGGTTTTGAAAGGTTAAAGAAGTAAATTTAAAATCCATGTTCCAGAGTTTGTCTCCTGCAGCTTTTAACCACGTTTCTAATTCATCTTCAGTTTAGTCAGATTGGAAGGAGAACATCTATTCAATTCAATTCAATTCAGTTTATTTATATAGCGCCAAATTCACAACACATGTCATCTCAAGGCTCTTTACAGTTCAACCAGATCACCCAGTCAAATTGATACAAAGTTTTCTATCTAAGGAAAACCAGTTGATTGCATTGACTCATTGACTCAAATACAATCCCCCACACTAAGCATGCTTGTAGCGACAGTGGAGAGGAAAAACTCCCTTTTAACAAAAGAAACCTCCAGCAGAACCAGGCTCAGTGTGAGCGGCCGTCTGCAGAGGCCGACTGGGGTTCAAGGAGACAGAAGCAGAGACACAAAAAGCAGCTGTAAAAGGTGGCCCCATCCAGGAAACACACAGCCAGGCAGACGAGCTCCGAGCCAGCTCCCATGCCAGAGGACGAAGAGAGTACATCCACCCAGTCACAGTCAGAGAAACAGGACCACACTGGAAAACAGGCCGATCTCCAACATCTATAAACAAGGGTGTTGATGGAAGCAGCACAGCTGATGTTTCTTTCCAGGATGGCGTCACAGCCAAACAGGAACAGACGGGGCAAGGCTACTCTGAGGAAAAGCAGAGAGAGCAGAAGGTTAGAGATTGAACTAACAGATTCTGCAGAATAGGAGAACAGAGAGAGAATGAAGCAGAATGAT